GTAGTGATTGTGTTTTTCAGCAATAGTGTGCACCCTTCATTTACAGAGAAAAGAAGGTCAGGGGAAAATCTATAGATGAAAGAATCTCCATACAAGTTCTTTGTGCAGTTTTCTTCTTTTTTTCTACTTTGCACTTTTTGTTAGAAAATTTTTATTTACTATTTATTCAGGTTTTTTAAGGTATCTAATATTTTGATACTTAATTTCCATGATCTAAATATTCTTAAAAATTAAAAGTTTGTTGTCATTTGGAAGTGTGTGGGCCTTCTTGCATTATTATGCTGTTACATTATGATTATATATTCAGTGGCATAAAATGGTCTTTAAAATGACAATAATATTGCTTAACGCAATTATTTCTGGGGAAATATATCGCACAACAAAAAGTTGTTATCGTGACAGGCCTACATTTTACCTATAATTCCTGATAAAGCAGCGTTTATGAGCGCAGATCTGCTTTATGTACAGCCGTTACCGGGGAAACCGCAATATTTCAGCGCTCCTAAAGCGCCACCTCGTGGCAGAGAATGAATTAGCATTTCCAATAAGCCTTCCTTTGTGTTTATGGTCAGATCAATGCAATTTCTCAAGAGATCAAGTATCTGAGTTTCTTTTATCCTTACAGAGTTGTAAATGAGAAAGAAGTTAATGTGCCTTCTAAAAATCTAAACATATAGTTTAGTTTATATACGTTTTAAATTGACAATTTATATGCTTGATTTATCCCTTTTCATAAAAATGGTCTAAAGGCTGAAATGCTGTTGTATAAGATTTTTGTGAAAACCTGTATCTGAACTGTAAATCATGTAATTTTATGGCTCAGTACTGTATGTTATTGTCCGACCCCACTCATACTGTGTTCATTTTACTTGTGCAGCTCTTAAAATGGGTCATATATTGCCTTAATTTTTTTTTTTTTTTAATTCTGCAGATACCCTAAATAGTGAAATAAAATTCCTTCCTTCATATTTGATATTTGTGTATTAAATATATTTTTGATTGACATTTAAACTCCTATCTGATGTTCTATATTTAAAAAAAAAGGTCTTTTTTTTTTTTTATTTGGGCTAGTTAAATTAATTTTCGGGCTACCAAAATCTGAAGAGTACCTGCCCGAAGGGCTACCAGGGATTTAGAAATGTTGCTAAGAATTGGAAAAGTCATTTTGATTGTAACCCATACGGTGAATGTACTTATGTGTGTGTGCATGGCTGAGATTTGGGATCACAGTGGTTCTGAACACTTTTTTGGAAGAAATTTTGCGAGCCCTGATTATCCAATATTTTTTGTCCAAAGTTGTTGGAGCCTAGCTGTTATAGCAGTAATGCCACCTGAAGGAGGAGCAAGTACAATCACTTGTGTAAAAGTTTCATTGCCAACATTTGGCACATAACCTCATGAAATTAGATTGCTTGTTGGCAATCATTTTTGTTGGCCGGTGTAAAATATTTGTTAAAAATTTTTTTTTTTTTGGTCAAACACCAATACAGTCCTAAGAATTGGAAAAGTCATTTTGATTGTAACCCATACGGTGAATGTACTGATGTGTGTGTGCATGGCTGAGATTTGGGATCACAGTGGTTCTGAACACTTTTTTGGATCTAGTAAATCTGCAACAGAAGTGAATATACCAATTCTTCCCTGTACTTCAACAGCAGTAAAATACTACGGTAAGAACTGCGGTCTGAAGCACGGGTCTAAAGTGTCGCTTACCTGTCAGCAGGTTGGGCGATCTGCCCTGACGCAGAAAGAACCGAACCTCGGGCCTCTCCTGTCCCCACTGCAGCAGCAGACCCATCATCTTCTCGCTCTCGCCTATCGCTCGCTCTGCATTCATCGGCACACAAACATGTATTCATACACATTTAGAAGCCACATCGCACCAACTTAGCATCCAGTCAATGGCACTATCTATTTATGGCACTAAAGTGTGGTTAAATTCCCATAACAGAGAGAGGCAGCTGCTGGCAATTGGAACTGATTTTCATCTTATTGATTTTCGTGCAGAATAATCTTCCCCAGAGCTTCACACGGCAGATGATTCCTTTGCTATGAAGTGGAGTGTGATGTTGGTGCAGCAATGCACTTAACGTGTACAAAGATTAGACTGTTGTGTGGTTCTAGGTTGAACATGTGCCTCATGTTCTTTGAATGCAGAGCCATCTGGAGCTCTAGATCCAACCGTTCTGACTAATCAGATCTAATCTGAACGACACCGGTCTAATACTGATGCCCTGTTCTTCATTAAACCCTCACCTGAGCCTCTCCACACTTCAGCCAGGTGGCTGGCGTCGCCCGGCTCCTTACACAGCTCCACCACGTCACGGCACACGGTCTCGGGCGTGATGGGCACCTCTGTGAAATGCTGGTCATTGTTACTGAGGTACACGGTCAGGAACATCTGGAAAACACAAGCAGACGTGAAGGCCGAGAGGTGGACGGGGGGAGTTTGATCACACAGGCTGATCCGTCCGGTTTTAAGCAAGAACAGCCTGTAATGTTATAGACGTCATACCATTTTCTCTGTCTCTCTCTGATTTAACACACTTGATTCAGATCATCAGCAGGTTCGGAGAGAGAAGACATGCAGAATGTGCAGAGCTGTCGGGATCAGGATTGAAAATCAGGACAATATGTGATGCTGCCGGTCACACGACACGATTGCATTCATACTACATTATACGGAACAAACCTTTTTACTGGTCGTGAAGTATGTACTTATTCAACAGAAGCACCTGCAGAGAGAGTATGCGACTTCCGACAGCCAATGAAGACTGACCCTCCTAAGTTAATATGCCTCCAAATTAATTTTGGAAAATCAATTGTTATGGTTTTGATATAATAGAGTCATAATCTTGTAGATCCACCAATATTGTACGTAACGTAAGGAACGTAAATTAAACTTTTAATAAATTAAAAAATAGTTAAAGTGGGGGGGAAATATCTGGATTTCTTGCAAGTGAATTATTCTGAATTTGGAAAATAAACATTTAAACACTATTTAAGTCAATGGAGATTAAACTCTAGAGTGACTGACAGACAGACAACACAAGAAACAACAACCCTTTAAAATTGTAATATGTTGTCAGGACTGAAGCACAATACTGGAAACAAGGGCTTTTAAGATATAATGTGAGATTATTTTACTTATTGATCATTGCTTTATTATAACAACACATGTTACTTACTAAAACCATCATGTATATCGACAAACATTAAATACAAAGCCACACGAGCAATGGGTGACAACATTACAGGCAATATCTTTTGATATGAGATATTAAAGAAGCAAAACATAGAGTTTTTCACTCTTATATAAGTTAAGTGAGAATATGAAAGCAGTCTGCTGGCTCACCGGCATCATCTTCGCTGAGGATCGATGATTTCCCACCGAGACTTCAATCCGGATCGGACTCTTATCTGTTTACGGTTTGAATGGAGTTAAAAATTCAGGTAGATGTTCCGAACAACACGTCCAGTCCTGTAACGCTATTGTTGTTGTTGTTGTTGTTGTTGTTTCCTGTAACGTTATTAGATGAGAGTCCCGAGAGGCGTGACGTCAGAGGCCTTCCCAAACTTTCCTTCCGCGAGAGTTTTTGTTCGCGAACATGGGATCACGAATACCCTTAAGTGTTTTAATAACTGTTTAAAGCATTCAAATGTTCAGAAGACAAGACAAGTTCGCGTGGAAGTGGGTTTTCGGGGTCTCTTATTGCAGTTCAGAGTGTTTTTCCTCTCGTTCTCTGGCGGACGCCTGTTGCTGCGTCGGAGGGCGTGACGTCACGCGCGGGGAACCCGTCCCTCTGGAAAACGGGGCGGAGCAAGATGGCGGCGAAAATAAGTTCGTTCTGTGCTGTGCCCCATATATATTTTGATAAAATCATTACAAGTATGCAAATAGCTGATGGGAGAAGCGAGGCTTTTCGAAACTTTAAATCAGTTGAATCAAAACGTTTGGAAGCGCTCGATACTTCTGCTGATAAAGACGTGCAAATGCAACGAGAAAACTAAGTGTGGTCTACACTACAATATTAAATATCATTAATCAGAGCTGGGTAGATTACTTGATAATTGTAATCCGTTACTGATTCCAAATTACATGACAAAAATGTAGTTAGTAACGTAATCCATTGCATTACACATTTTAGACTACTTTTTGATTACTTTTGACCTAACTCGTTTATCACATTGATTTTAATAGGATAATCTTGTACCATATTGATATAAAAATGCAAAAAATAAATTAATATATAGATATATTAATACATTTACATTTAGTCATTTATCAGACGCTTTTATCCAAAGCGACTTACAAATGAGGACAATGGAAGCAATCAAAATCAACAGAAGAGCAATGATACACAAGTGCTATAACAAGTCTCAGTTAGCTTAACGCAGTACACGTAGCAAGTTTTTTTTTAAATCATATAATAAATAAAAAGAAAATGGATAGAATAGATAAAGAGCAAGCTAGTGTTAGAGGCCTTTTTCACTTTTGTTAATTGTATAATAAATAAAAAGAAAACAAATAGATAGAATGCAAAAAGATTAGAGAAGCAAGTGTTAGTTTTTTTTTAAGAAAACAAGCAGTTAGTAAATATATAGAGTGCAAGTCTAAAAGGGGCAAGTTATTTATATA